CATTTCCTTTCCCCTCCTTCGCCCTTTCCCTTTCCCTTCTCCCTTCCCTCTCCTCCCATCCCCATCCCATGCCCTCTGTTATTCCTGGCCGCACAGAACATCCAAGCGCGGGGCTCGGGGCGAGCGGGGGGGATGGAATGAGCTCACCAGGATGCTTTTCTCACACGGAGACGACCAAACGAGGAGGAAGTTGCCTTTATCTCCCGTCCCTGCCCGTGGGTCAAAGGCTCCTGCTSGGGAGGAGGGAGCGGGCGCTCCCCTCCGCGGCCGGGCGCTGATAACCCCACTGCCCGCGGGGAGGCCCGGCCAGGAAAGGGAGGCTCTGCTCCCGACTTCAAGGCGAAAAAAACCCACCAAAATAACGGGATGGGTTTGGCTTCTGCTGGAGTAGAAAAGGGTTTGCGGGGGAAAATGGATTTTCTTGTGCGTTGCTGTTTTGCTGATCGTCTCCTTCTCTGCTTGGCTTTGGGATTCCTCACCCACTGAGGAAGGAGATGGAGAGGCAGAGGGCTGAGGGCAGGATGGTTTTCCAAAGATGAATTAGGGATGTTTTTTCACCAACTGTCCCTTGTCACCTTCTCTAAGTCATAGCCCTGTGAAAACGCATTTTTTTCAGCAAAAAAGCAAATTCCTCTCTTACTCTCTCCTACTATGAACTTGTACTTACAGGCAGGTAGGATGGCTCCCTTRTACTCGATACTAAAATTGCTTTTCAAACAGAGAAAAGTCATTTAGCACCCCAAAGAAATCCTGAGTGATTTCCTGGAAATGCAAATTCCTAAACTTGTATGAAACAACTGAGTTTCCTCCATCCATCAGCTGACCAGAAAGATGCAGAGAGCAGAGCTGGGCTGGAGAAGAAAGAGTGCTCCACCAGAACTAGGGAGAAAGGAAAATACTTCCCTGCCCTTTAAAATAGGAGCTGTTGGCACGGCCGGGACAAGCAAACCGAATCCAAATTGAGTCCTTGCCAAATTATGCCTTAAATTATAACTCCGCTGTGGATGCTATAAAATCGAGTTTAACTTCAGCTTGATGGATTTGGAGAAAGAATATAATATTAATAGAAGTGGGAGTTAATAAAACAGGACACACTGCCTGCTTGAAAGGCATTTCCCGAGGAGAAAACAGACGTGAATGGAGCTGCTCTCCTTTGAAGGAAAATAGAGGCGTTTTTATAGGAACAGAAATGATCAGGCGAATAAAACCAAAGCAAAGCAGGAGCATGTAAGCACAGTAGTTTGGGAAAAGTGCCATGTTAGGAGGAGCAGGAATATTTGATTGTAAATCAGCAACATCTGCGTGATAAGGAATGACATCTGCGTATCTGCCTCTGTCAAAAGAGCGGCAGGAATCCCCCAGACACTCTCACAGCCCCGGCCCGGCACATCCTCGCACCYACCACGGCACATTTCACACACCCCACGCACGTTTGACAGGCTCTGACATCCCTCTCTCCCCGCTCCATGCGCATTCCTCCCCTGCTCGGAATTAAGGGGAGAGCAAAGCAAAAGGGGCTGTAGCCCCAAGATCCAACCCAAYTGGGAGAGGGAGAGCTGTAAAAATAAACCAGGGGTGATCTCCCCTAAACGGCATCTCCCCACAGGGAAGGGGATAAAATTCATAGCTTGCCCCGGTGCTGATGGGGAATGATATTGGGGTTTTTGCAGATAAACATCCTCCAGCTGAGCTGGGTGACAAGTGGGGTCTTTTCCACCAGCAGAACCCCCAGTTCRGCTTTCACAGCTGACAGCTCGCTTGGAAAACCAGATTTTTACCTTCCAACCCAGGCTCCCTTTTCCCTGCCATAAAGGATGGCAGCCCCCTGATCTGTGGGGCAGCCCCAGGTCCTGCTCTCAGTGCTCTGCTTATTTTTTTCCCCATTTTTCTCTCTCACCTCCACCCTTTATCTGTAGCACATCCCTCAGGCTTACTTTCCCACCCACCCCGCCCAGCCTCTCCATTTCACACATACTTTTGTCCACCCACATCCACASAAATCCATCCCCGCACGTGGTTTAGGTTTCAAGAGCTCTGCTGGAGYTGAATTCTGTCGCAGAATTAATTGTGTGGCTCGCCCCAAAACGCATTTGAGCCCGCGCTTACGGGGCTTACAGAAATACCTGCCTGCTTCCAGAGAGGTTCAATTTATTCCGAGAGCACAGCTGCAATCCCAATGCACGGCTCGYGCTTATTTCCCCTGATATTTCAGACGGCCTGGAAAGATATTTAAGCACCTTGGGATCTCCCTCTCCTCGGCCCTACTCCCCAAAAAGAGGCTTAAACWACGCGGAGAGTTTCGGTGAAATTTTCAGGGCGGTTGTCAGCAGCTCCTCCCCCCTCTCTGCTCCCCTTGAAAATACCCCAGAAATACCGAGGTGTTAAAAAAGGTCACATGCACATTTCATTTCCTTGCCTTTTGCACAATGGGTGCTTGCAATCAGCTTGGATTSCCGAATATTAACTTCCCCCGCAGTTAAGCACCGTTTCGCTGCGGCTTAAATCACGGCGTTACAGGCTCGTATTTATTAGGTACGAGCTCTCTGCTTAGGACCAGGAAATGAACCCTAATAGACAGAAATAATTAAGGTTCTGCCCTCTCGAGGKTTCTTTCAAAAGCAAGAATTCCCAACAATTATTCTCATTAATTTTTACAACCTGCTTTCTCCCCTTAGCTGGACTCGGGCTTTATATTGGTTCCCCCYCTCAGGATATCCGGTTTTATGCCGATTTTTTTCCCCCCACCCTAAGTAATTTAACATTCTTGGGAGCCAAAATTCTTTTAGGGAAAGGTTAACTCGAGCTGGGGTGCTACAGGCACCCAGAAACGCTGCGTGCACCAGGGSAGAGCACAGGAGCAGGGCATGGCTGGAGACTGGATTCGCTCCCCGATATCTGGTGGGATTTCTGGATGTAGGGGTTCATCCTTCCCCTAAAAGACCCAGTGCTAAAATCACGCTGGTGGGTTGGCCAAGGCAGCTGTAGCTCCATCCTGGTGATTCTGCAGRGCTGCTCGTGCAGGTCCCCTCGTGAATGTGGCTTCTGGTCACCGGGAGGGTGGAGCTGGGCAGGTTCTTGGGGTGTTTTCTCCTGAARGCTCCATTTTCCTTGGCTCTGGTTGCAGGTGGCCATTTCCAGCAGTGTGGTGGCCTGGCTGGCAGCCCATGGAGTCCAGCCCCCCCTGTCCAGCCCCCATGGGTGCTGCCAGCTCTGTGCAAGCAGGGACCCCTCTCCTCACSCAGAGCCTTCTCCCGGGTGCTGACAGAGCCAGGGCTCCCTGGGGTGCAGCAAGGTGACAGCACACAGCTCCTCTYCCCACCCAGCCCTGGTGGTGTCTGCACAGCCCACTTGAGGATGGCACTGGGYTGATTTTCCCTTCCTGGCCTCTCTGTGGCTCCTCACCCCTCTGCTCTCAAATCTTTGGTGCCRTTCCAAGCTCCTTTCCAGAGGTCTCGTGTCCTTCAGAGCGGTGGCTGAACCAGCCTTGTCCCCTCTGTGTYCAGCCCTGGGATGGGGTGTGAGCCAGCCCCAAACCCCTGGACCCTTCTGGTCCCCAAAGCAGCCCCAGTCCCCAATCCTGGCAGACACCCCCTGTACCCATCCCCATTCCCACAGCCCCAAACCCATGCAGGGTCTGTCTCTCCCCGTCCTTCTCTCCCGTGTCCAGTTCAGCCAGAGCCTCCTCAAAGAGCCCCTGTGTCTCACCCCAGTCCCTCCCATTTCCCTCGCTGGCTCTGGGTTCTGCACTTCTCCCCTGTGCCAGCAGCTCCCCCCTCTCCTCCCTTTTCCTCGGGATCCAGGTCCCAGCTCTCCCTCGGCCGGGCTGTGGGCTCAGCAGGCACCTTGTCTCCATCTCCTTCCTCCCCACTCCTCTGGTTTGGCTTCCTCCTCCATCCTGACCTGCTTTCCACCTGGGCTGGGTGAAAGAAAACGGCTCTGTGCTCTGCAGCCTCGCAGCCCTGCCAGCTCCAGCCRTGCCAGGGGTTGTCCTGGTCCCTCTCTGCCACCCTGAGCAGAACCACGGCCACCAGCAGGGCAGGGGGGCACCTACTCCTGAGGTTCGTGAGTGCTCTGCTCATGGGTGATCACCTGTGGAATTTTTTTCCCCCCACTCAGAGTTTTTAGTTCTCCACATGGCACAGATCTCAGAGAGAACTCAGAAATTAAGGGTCCCATTGCCTGCAGAACAGGAAGTCCTTTTCCGGAATGCTCAATCTTTCTTTAGTTCTGGAAGAGTGTAGTGTTTTCCCTTAGCTTAAGTGCTTAAAAAAAATGTTGATAGCAAAATTAGTAAATAAAATGGAGCCCAGGGCACCTGGTGTGGAGCACATCACCCCCAACAAACTTTTAACTTTGCTCCAACTTCTAAAGTGAGAAACCATTGAGAAAAACCTTATTGTGGCACGTTCTTGATAAAAAAAAAAATTCTTAGTGCAAGTTTTGATTGTGGCCATAATGATGCTCATGAGCCCTCAGGCACAAATCCCCATAGAAACACCTGCCTGTGGAAAAGGAAAAAAAAAAAGTAAAGCATCTATCCTCAACCTGAATAGATGAAAAACTAAATTTTATCATGCTGTTGGAAAGGTCTCAGCGTTTTGTGGCCAATTAGCCCAGGGAAAGGAGAGCAGGGGATAACGCAGGGATTCCATCGGGCGCTGTCGCTTCCCGTGAGAGTGAAGATGAACCCATGGGTCAGACAAACCCTGAAAAGGGGGAATTTGGGAGGCTTCACCCTACAAAGCTCTCCTCTCCAAGGCTCCATGGCAGCTTCAGGAATGAGTGGTCAGGAGGGAGCTTTGCCGTGGGTTTCCTTCAGTAACAAATCCCCAAACAAAGCCCTACAGTTTTATTGAACCTGCRCTGTGTAATTCAGCCCTGGGCACTYGGGCTTAATGACCTYGCAGGACGYTGTATTTTGGTTTATTTTTCATGAGGTAATTGTCATTTGACTTTCTGACAGCTTTTCTTCTCCCCCTCACCCCCCACCATGAGTTATAGTCAATTAAAYTCAGTTTCGCTGTGGCAAAGCTGATCCAGAAGAAGGTTCTTTCCACCCCTGCGTTTGCTTTTCCACCTCTGAAATAGTTTGGAAGTCAGGCAAAAAGCGGCCAAACAAAATATCTTCCACGGGTTGTTTGTTAAAGCAGGGACCCACCAGTTTTTTCTCTGTTTTCTGGTTTGTTGTGAACAGTTTTGTTAAACCTGGCTCGGAATTTCCTGGCTTAGTGGTGGCTGATGCCGTGAGTTATCACCCGGGGAAACTTYTTTTCTGGAAGCTCCAATCCATCAAAAAACTCTCAGAATTCATTCCAAACCTTCTGTAGTCCCTGATTTTAGATGCCTTCGCTCCATCCCTCATTTTAAGGAGGGTGAAGCTGCCCGTGATTCACTTGGGGCTTTTGGCCACCATCTCTGCTCGTGAGAGCATTCCTGATGTGGCTTTAGGGGATCCTCCACTCCCAAATCACCACCTTTGCCATACTGACCCCCATTTTGATATTTTGGCCTGTATTTCGTGCGTGATTAAAAATGTGAAGAATCAAACAGGGCATTGAATGAGGCTCTCAGTGAGGGGCTGGAGCGCCGCTGGCTCCTCCTTTGCAGCGCACCGGGGATCTGTGGGGGCAGTGCCACCCACCCCAGTGCCCTCTGGCAGTCCCCATGTCCCTCCCCTGATCGCAGCAGGGAGCCCAGGCTGCCGGGGCCGGCGCCTCGGTCGGGGTGGGATGAATCCGGCCCTTTGTGCCTCAGTGTGCTGGTGCCAATCCTGTAAATCCTCRCCCCGTGAAGGGCTCCGCTTATGTGAGCAAATATTGCCATTGGGGTCAGCCGGGGAGGACAACTCCTACATTTATAGGGTTTCAGGAACATTCAAAACCCTTCAATAATGGCTATTATTCATTCTGGAAGAGTCAGCACCTTCAAACCGATCGGCTCGGCGAAACGCGGGGCTGTGTAAGAATTAATTTGGAATTTTTAATTGCAAAATGAGCCTCTGTTTTATTGCTGGAGAATGGCTCAGCTGGCAAATGGACCCCAAAAGATGGTTTGTTTACCCTTCTCTTTGAAATCTAAAATGAGGGATGAAAAAATAGTGCAAAGGGCTGTTTTGTGTGCTGGGTATGGTCCWGATTCAATGGGAATGCCCGTGAGGATCAGTGCAAGGGTGGTGGGGGGCTCTGTGAGAGATTTGGGGCTGACTGAGGMAAAAATGGCAAATAAATAAATGGAATTTTTTTTWAWKRAAAAAAACAAGCAGAAAGACAAGGAAAGAGCAAAATAATCTGGTTGTGTGCACACACCTGGCAAGGTTGGCTATTGACAGTGGGCGAGCCAGATTTTCCTCTCTGGGTTTTGGCAGGGAGCTGGGCCCGGCTGTTTGTGCCCGGCTCGGTGAGCATGAACCTCTCTCTGTTCTCCCTCCACAAATCCCGAGCTCTTTCCTTCCCCTTGGCCAACGCTGGGGAGGAAGGAAGGACGGGGTTTCCAGAAAACACCGTGGGGAGGGTGTGAAGTTCCTCCAGACCGGTTTTTTTCAGTCCTCCTGGGTGAGGGTCTCTCCTGATCCCTTGCTGAGGGCTCAAACTGCCAGGCAGCGATGGAGAAAAGGGGAAAAAAATGGAACTTTTTCCTCTTCTGCCCAAATTTCAGGCCTTTGTAGCGATATCACACCCAAGCCAGGCTCAGTCCTGCTCTGCCGAGGCACCGAAGTGTTTGCATCAAATTTTGCATCAATTTTACAAGATTCACAGGGAAGCTTAGGGTGCTGCTGGTCCATAATTAATGTTGGCTTAAATGGCAAACTCTGCTTTCAAAGCCTTCAGGAGCGCATTGAACCTCTTGGAGCAGCACAGTCCCTTTGGGTAAAGGCATGTTCTGTCCAGCAGCTGCTTTAAACATTAAATCTTCAAATATTAAATTTCAATGTTTCAAGAGGACCAAAGCTGAGTCTGAAGGGATTCATGCCAGCAAATTTTAGATTGTCATGGAACACATTTAGTGAGCAAACTGGAATTAATGGGGAGACAATTAATCCTCCAGGGCTTGATGGTCACAGGTAAACTGCCCTTGGAGTAATTAGGTAATTAATCAATGCAGTGCTCACAGGATGATGATGAAGAGCACTTGGAGCACGTTGAGCTGCTCTGAACACCCAAAGGGTGAGGCTCAGTGCTCTGGGAGAGAGGGTGCAGGTCTGAGAGGTGAGGTTTTGATTTTGACTGTGCATTGATGAGAAAATCCATGTTGATTGAAAATCCATCCTTGGTCCTTTGAAAGCAGATTTTCTCCAGAGACAAATGAGTGTGTGAGTTATGGAGCAAGGGAGATGCTGTTGACAGATCTTTTTTCCCGTGGGGCGTTCTAGGAAAAGATGCCCTGGAGTGGTCAGTGATGCTGAGGGGTAGCTGGAACCCCTGTACACTGCATTTTCCCTCCCATCCCTTCTGCCCTGGGTTCAAGAACCTCTGTCCCCTCTCTCTGCGCTGACCCCGCTGTGTTCCTTCCCTTGCAGATCACACAGCTCAAAATTGAGAACAACCCCTTCGCCAAAGGCTTCCGCGGCAGCGACGACATGGAGCTGCACAGGATGTCCAGGATGCAGAGGTAACGCTGCCACCCCCGTGGGGACCCTGCCAGGGCCACCAGAGCCACCAGCTTGGCACGTCCCTCATGGCTGGGACTGAGCCAGGACACTGTGCCACTCCCCGTGTGGAGCTTTTATATCAGGTTGTCGAAAAACTCCCAGGATGTGGGGACAAAATCCCGCACCCTCTGCTCCCAGGGGATTTTTCTGTAATTGCTGGGTTGTAGAGGCAGGATCTCGATTGTGGGGTGCTGCCTTGGCCMCAGGGACCTTGCATTTCTCTTTGAGCTGTCCCCATCCGGAACAACCTTTGGGTTTGTGCTCAATTCTCACCTCTGAGGCTGCACGTGGATCCAGATGGGTCAAAAACTTGGCTTAGCTGGGAGAAGCTGCAAGAATTCCTGAGAGTTCTGTCCCCCCAGGTGCTTTAAGGACCAAGCTCCCAGCCTTGTTTTGGGAGCAGRTTTTTAAGGATGCTCCAGCTCGTGTTTTGTTGGCGATCTCGGCCCCGTGTTTTGTTGTTGCTGGCTTTGGAGGGGTTTGGCAGAAGGGAGTGTTTGCCCGCTGGGCTCTGGTGTGCAGAGCAGCAGCAGAGGTGTGGTGCTTCAGGCTGGAGAAGGAAAGGTTAGAAAACATTGGGATCTCCAGGCCAAGTGGCTGGGGAGACCTTTTCAAAGCTCGGCTTTGGCTCTGAGTACTTAAGCTGAAAACCAAGCCTAAACCTTGTTTGAAAATCCTGTTTGACGTCCTTTTCTAAATGTCAGGTCCTGCTGGCAATTAACTTGGTGCCTTTCACTTCTCCTGGAAYTTTGTCCATGTTTCAAAGCTGCTTCCTGGTGCAAATGTTTTGCAGGAATGGCGCCATCCCCAGAGATGGGGATTCTCAATAGGGCATTTTCCAGGAGGGRAGGAGGGACTCAAATCCTTTTTTCYCTGGATCCAGCAGAGGAAGGACCTGCTTTGGGATCTCCTGATGGGAATATTTTCCCCCTGCCCACCCAGGAGCCAGCTGTAGGTGGTCACTACTGTTGCTGACCCGAACACGGCTCTCTGTAGGCAGGAAAATCACCCTGCCCAGCACCAAATAATTCCTGTGAYCCTTCAAACATGCCCAGAACCCTCCTGAAACTGTCCTGTGTACAAACATCCTCAGGCTCAGCCCCAGAAAAGCCAAGATAGATGTATAAAATGTATATGTGGCACTKAATCTAAATCTTAAATCATCTCCTGAATGCGCCCTGTGTTCCCTGCCTGCCCTTTCCAACCGATCCTGGCACGATCCGTCAATATTTATTTATTTATGGCTGCACCACCACTTGAAGTAACTCCCCCCAAGCCCATGCCAGGCTCCCAGTTTGGACTGGAACTTGAGTAACGATGTTGTCGTCCCCCCAACTCAATCTTTGCTGCCAAACCACCCTTTMGTTACAGTCAGCAGAAAGATTTGAAGGTTTGGATTGGCTTTGGGGGATTTTTGGGAGCGGGAGGGAGGAGGAGGTGGAACAGGGAGGGTTCTTAGGAAGGGCTCTGTGCCATGGGAAGAGCGTTAAAAATCCCTTGGAGTTTTCATGCTGGGGCTACGTTCACCAATCCAGGGAAAATAAACCTTTGGAATACAAAAATCCACCCACTCGGGGCTGGAAGGGTTAAAATCGTTACCTTCTCACGATAATTCCTGATGTYCATTTTAATAACTTGGCATTTTAATAACTTTGTGCCTTCACAAAGATGGCATTTTTTTATTTTTATTTTTAAAGGGAGGGGAGGATAAGAYGATTATGGTCAAATAAAGACCCATTCAAGGTTGAAAATATGCTCCCACCTTCGTGGGTTTTTTACGTAGATATATGAATATATGCAAAATTATATATGAAAATACATAAAACCATGTATAAAATCAGTTATAGATATAAATAAATGGCAGCTATGAAAAATAGGTCGTGTCTAGGAGATAAAGAACCATTCAGGACGGAGAACGTGGCAGAACTATGCCCTGCCTTTTGTGGGTTTGTAGAGATTGAACATAGAAATATCTATTAAAATGCAATTAAATTTATATATAATATATTTTAACATATAAATGTAGGCTTGTGACGTGGTTTCCCAGTGATGGCCCAGTCAGTCTGTCCTGGTTTTAGGGGAACGATGCCCATTTGTGCCCCTGGAGAATACTCAAGTTTTTTAGCGCTGTTGGTTCATTATGAAAAAAAAGTCGCTGGAAAAAATCCCCATTTTTATAACATTGCCCAGCCTTTTGTATTGGAAATYGCTGACCTGACATTCACCATCCCTCTCCACAACTTTCTCCTATCCAAGGCTTCCCATGTTGGATTTTTTTCCTCTTATTTCCCAGTAAAAAAGAGTTAAAAAGTCTGTCCAGGTAGAATTTAATTCAGGAGTGATGTGAAGCCTTTCAGCAGAGATGATTTCATTGAAAAAGAGGAGCCATGAGCTCCAAAGAGATCCAAATTCCAGTGGATGTTGATTTTTCCCCACTGCCTTTCTCTCCTGAAAGGTGATTTTCACATGGGGTGTCTTTAGCAGCTTCTCTGGTGGGAGAAGCGATTTTTTGAGGTTTTTCAAAATTTTCAAGTTTCTGAGCATGGGATTGAGCTTGTTATTCTTCTGATCAGTAAAAAAATCCCAAATTCATTAAAAAGAAAAGAAAATGAAGAGAGGGATGTGAATTTTACTGCACAACACTGTAGCCATGCCGCAGTTTAAAAAACACAAATCTGTGTTTTTAAAAAAATGCTGCAGTTGTGATGGATTTTAGGTGAGGTGTTTATTTTGGATCTCCTGCCCCTCTGTGCTGCAAAAATCTGATTTTGTCTCCATTTGAGRGTCTKTGCTGATGAACCACRGGGTGATTGGGGTGTTGCWYGCTGGCCACAGTTTTAATTTATTARTTTTTGYTATCTGGGACTGCCAAAGGGCAGCAGGGGAGAAGAGTTTGTGGGTTTGGGGCTGGAGATGGTGAGGGAGCAATTCTGATCAACCCCATAACCAATTCTTGCTGCTCATCTGCAGCTCCCGTTGTCTCTGGTGGTTCTGAGRAGCTCCTGGAAGTTAATTTTGCTTTCAAATCAGCACAGTTTAACCCTTGAAGCTCCTTTTTGGGAAGGTTTTTGAGGTGGGGGACGGAATGGTGGTTCTGGGCTCCCTCAGTGGGTTCTCTGAGCCCTTTAAAAGTGACAAAAAATCGAGATTGATGCACRTGACAGGGAAGAGTCAGCGGGTTCTGATGTTGTGGCTGTGTTTGCTCCATCAAGGATCACGAGCCACACTTTGCTGCCTTTGGCCCCGATCCACTGCAATCTCTTGGCCCCAAAGGAATTAATTCCAAAGATTCCCGTGTGTCACAGAGAGAGGGAACAGGGCCAGCCACAGGGGACACCAAATCAGTCCCGTGAGTCACAGCCAGCGTGACGAGGTCACAGTGGGTTTTGGAAGAAATGGATGATCCTTGGGGCTCCAAAGGATTGTATTTCCTGGGATTTCAGGATCCCGTTGGAATGAGAGGCACCAAACTGAATCCTGCYRCAAACAAYCTCRTTTTYCTTKTGTCTTCTCCCTGCATCTTTAATCYSCTTCCATTTSCCAGGTTCTATCACCAAAATCTCCCCAAGAGTTTGAAAAATTTTYCAAARTGTTTCAACCCCCCTGCCTGAAACRTTYTCAGGGTGAGACTCAGAGCTGTAACATCTGCTGGTAGGGGAGGCTTTGCTCCTGCAAAGAGGAAATTTTCCTGGTCAAAGCCTGGTGGAAACTGCAGGTTTGAAATGTGTTCCATAGAATTTCACTGAATTCAGGTGAAATCCACGAGGAAGCTGTGCAGAACTTACGTACTCACAGCTCTTTTGAAATGGGAAAGCCACTCAAGAAACACAGGGTGGCTGCAGTTTTTATCCTTGACCCTCCTGTGGGGAACTCAGGATTTTATCAGCAGAAGCTCAGCCCAGCACACAGAGCTGCAGGTGCTGCCTCTGGCCCATCTCCATCTCAATCTCCTCTTGTGCTCCTCTCACCCCAACAGCAGTGATTTTCTGCAGAAATGGACCTTTTTATCTGCCTGATGATGAGAGCTCTTGATCYCTGTCTGGTTCCTTTCCTTGCTGCTGCTGGGGTTTGTGGGGGTGTCTTCGGGCTGCTCTGCTCAGAGGAGTTGATAACAGACCA